CCATTTAAAAATATTTTCTAATTTTCATTGTCATCTTTTTTTGGCACATGGATTAATTAGAAGTGTATTGCTTAGGTTTCTCATAAATAAGGATTTCCAACTTAATTTCCTTTTTCTTTTTTTTTTTTTTTTAAACTAATTTCTAGCTTAGTTTCTCTGAGATCAGAGATGCCTGTCTTTTGAAATTTGTTAAGACTTAAAATCTGGGCTTCTATGTAATTACCTTTGGTAGATGTTTTGTAATGTAGTTATAAAGTATTTTCTGCAGTTGTTAGATGTAGTGTTCTTAAGTGAGTGAGGTTGTTAACTGTCAAATCTTTATGTTTATTTTGGTCTGCTTGTTCTTTTATTCTGATCTGCTTATTCCATCAGGTACTTTTTAAAAATCAAGTTGGTATAATTATGGATTAGAGATAGTTCTTTTGGGATTGGCTTAATGTACAGGCATACCCTTGATTCTTAGCTGAAGTTTATTTAGGTAAAGTATATTTTTAAATCTGCAAAATTCAGTATAGTATTAAACCTGGTATATGGGAAAAGTCACAATTACATCCCAAGTACAGTAGGTAGAATGTTAAAATCATATGTAGATTTTTAAAAACAGTGTATTGAGTGCCAGAAAAAGGAATGTGCAAGATGTGCTGGCAATAAGGCCATTACTATATTAAAATTTGAACTATTGTTTGCCAATGTGTGTTTGTCTTGAACACATTTCGAATTGTTTTTCGTATTTAACTCTTATTTTTGCTTAGATTTATAGCATATACAAAGAAGTTGGGAAAGTGTTAAGTTGTGGAGAAAGAAATAAGCCAGTGAGAAAGTTACTATGCAGTCTATGAAGTCATGTAGTAAGCATTTTACATCCTAACCATGATAATTTACTACTATAAATGGACATTTTCTGTGTTTTAAACTTTAAAAGAGAAATAAATCGAATTGTGAGTTAATGTATGACATTGTAATTTTTTCTACTTAAAATATAGTAAATCATGTTCTGGCTAAAGTTTTTGCACAGAATATTTGATTTTCAGAAATACATTTCTGATTACATGTGTTATTAGGTGCACTCAATTTTAGAATTGTTATGTCTTCCTGGTGAGTTGAACTTGTATTGTTTTAAAGCATTTTTTGTTTGTCTCTATCCTTATACACACATCTGTATCCTGCATTGAAGTTCAGTATGGTAAAGCATAATCATACAACTTTCCTTTGGTTTGTAATTTACCTGGTGTATTTTTCTCCCTACTTTTACTTTCATTCTTTCTGTATCCTATGTGTAAGATAATATCCTCTCTAATCATTCCACAATTGGATTTTGTTTTTAAATAGTTCTAAATTATCTTAAAAATTTGGGTGTTTTACTTAATTATATTTTTTTGTGAATAATCATATAGTTGGATTAAATGTTTTATTCTCGTTTCCTTTTTATTTGTCTCTCACTCTGTGCCTTCTTCATTTGCTAATTCATTTTTCTCTTTTCTGGATGTTATACTTTTATTCTTGTAGTGGTTTCACTCAGAGATTACCATATGCATCCTTGATTTATGAAAGTCTAAAGTAAATGAGCATTCTTTCTATTTCCTAGTCAATTAAAGATTTTAAAACCCTTTAACTTCATTTGGTACCCTCCTCAGTTATATACTATTATTGTTGTGTATTATAATATTTTAAGCCCTACAAGTTTTATTATTGGTGTTTTATTTAGTTAACATTCATTTAGAGTTGCTCATTAATATTTGTTTGCTGAACTTCAGTTTTTGTGCATACTTAAGCTGTAATCTGGTATTATTTTTTTCTTCTAAAGAAACGTTGAAGAGGTCCCTTCAGTCTTTCCTGGTTACAAATTCTGTTTGTTTGCCTAAAAGTGTTTTTGGTTTGCCTTCATTATGAGGGATATTTTTTTCTCAAATACAAAGTTCTAGTTTGTCATTCTCTCTCTTAACCTCAGCACTTCGAAGATACCATTTCATTATCTTCTTACTTCATTGTTTATGTGAAAAAGTCAGTTCAGCTGTGAATCTTAACCATTGTTTCTTGAAGTGAATATTTTTCAACAGTTTTCTGGCTGCTTGTAAGATCCTTCCATCTGTGGGGGAAACATACCCCCCACCCATTCTTCCTTTGATCTGCCTAAGTGTGTGTATTGTATCTATTTTACTTGAGGGGTCTGTAGAGCTTCTGGAATCTATGGGTTGATGTCTCATTAGTTTTGAAAATTCTTAGCTATTGTGTCTTCAAATATTTCTTTACCACCATATGTTTTTTCCTTCTGTTACGGAACTCTATTTACTTGTATTTTTGGATATTTTCTCCATGTTCCATAATTTTTCAAACTCTTTTCTGTATTTCATATTGTCAGGTCTTTTTGTATTTCAGCATAGATATTATCTTTTTTCCTGTTTTCTGGGTTGTTAATTATATTTTCAGCTGCATATAACTAATTATTAAATCAATCCATAAATTGGTTTTCAAAATTGTATTTTTTGTTGTTTTTCCTCTTGTTTATTATTGCCTGCTAAAATTCATTTTTAAAAAAATTCCTTGACCATATTAATTAGTTACTTAGTTGATCTGTTTCTGTAGCCATTCTTAAATCTTGGGTTTTGACTGGATACTTTTTTTATTGCTATGTGTTTTATGTGAAAAAAAACAGAGATAAAATAATTTGAATTTCTGGATAATGTTATCTTTCTACTGAGAAGATTCACTTTTGCTACTAGCAGGCAGCTAGGCTAATGATCTTCACTAGACCAGATTGCCTTCATCTAACTAGGGATTGTGATGATTTTAAGCTGTACTTCCCTTCCTATTTGACTTATTCTGTTTTTGATTTACCTTTGTGCCTGGGGTATAGTTCTTTGGAGTCTCTCCAGATGGCTGGTGTGTTCATTAGTGTGATATTACTCTTTGGCAAGCTGAATCTAATTTTTGAACTCCAAACTCTTTCTTAGTCTCCCAGCCAGTGGTTTTGGAGCCTGCAGGCAAAAATGTCCAAAGACAGGTTTCACCTGTTTCTTCTAGATCTCTGCCTTGCAAATTATCACTATCTTGAATGTTCTGCAGTGTTTTAAAACAAATTACCTTTGTTTTACTTTTCTAGTTGTTCTCTGAAGATTGGTTTGAAGCAACCTACTTCATGTTGACAACAGCAAAGTGTCCAGATATGTTCTAGAATCTGTATTTTTCAGATTATAGAAGATAATATAGTATAAATGTCTTATAGGCATCAGCAGATCTTGCATACTTGAGCAATAATATCTCCACAATGAAATGTATAACTGTTTATACAGTGCAAGGTTCTATAATGAGAATTAGAATGTGCTCTGTTAGGGAACATGATTTAGAGTAAATGAACCTCTGTTGTTTGTAATGCAGTCTGTTGTAGAAACAAATATTCTACAGCACAGCTGCTTGTTTGATTGGGTTCCACCGTCTTTCAGTTCCTCTAATGTTTTCTATTCTCTTGTGTCATGGGGCATTTGTGCTTGCTATTTTCTCTGCCTGGCATGTATACCCTCATTTTCAGATTTAAATGTGAGGCACTTCTTCAGGGAAGCATTTCCTGACCCACAAATTCAGATTAGATAAATAAGTATTTTAGTTTTGAAGTATACAAATATAATAATTTGATAATTTGAGATTTATGTCTTTTTTTTCCTTGACCATTTTATTCTCTGTGCTTAGTTTAGAGTTTGGAAGTATATTTATTATATAAATGGTCATTAATGGGTTATCAGTTGTTTAATAGATGATCAATTAATGTATGAATGAAGAAATAAATGAGAGGAGATGAATAAATGAGTTTATTATTTTGAGTTTATTAGCATTTCACATTACTTTAAAAATATTTCTATTTATTTTGTAAGTTTTGAAAGCACTAGGTTTTGAAGTGACTAAAACCATCATTCATATCATCCAGAGCATAACAACTTGTATCATTGCCACTTGTTCTGTTACAGAGAAATGGAACACAAAACCCTGCAAGATTTTTAAAATCTTTAAAGATTGATATATCAAAGAAAAGCTGACTTGGAATTTATATATGTACACACATACTCACCACACTCATAGGCATTGTATTTGTTCTGCCAGGAGGAATTGGTGTTGGCTTCTTTAGGGAGGTGACATTTGAACTAAATGTTAACTGATGAAGAGGCGTTCATTAAGTGAGCAATAATACCAACAAGAAATATTATTTCATTTAAATGTATATTAGTATGAAAGTAGTATACTAGTGTCTTTGTGGATTTATAGATAGTAATTTGGCCGGAGGCTAGGGTGATTTGCCTGGAGAATTCATAAAGGTAGACTGGGGTCATCTACATTATTTATCCTTTGGCAGGAAGGCTATCAGACTTTTAAGGATATTCTGTAATGTTTGAGAGGATAAATCCTGGAACCAGATTCCTGAGTTCATATCCTAAATTCTGCCCTTTACTATTTGACCTTGAGCACATGACTTAATTTTTCTGTTTCTCAGTATCTATAAAATTAACATTATAATTACAATTAACTTAGTAGGTTGTAGTTAGTATTGAATAAGTTAAGACTTGTTCATACTTAGAAAAATGCCCACTTGGGGCTGGGGTTGGTGGCTCAGTGGCAGAGCACTTGCCTGGCATGTATGGCATCACGTATAAATAAATAAAAGTAAATCAACAACTAAAAAATATTTTAAAAAAATGCCCACTCATAGAAAATGTGCCTACGCTCAGTAAATGTTGGCTCTTGTTGGTATTATTGTAGGCATTGAGAAAACCTCAAATGCTATAATTGCATTAGTTTGACCAGAGCCAGAGGCACAGAGATTCAAGAGATATTTTAAGGGCAAAATCAATAAGACTTCAACTTATTTAATACTTCTGTGTAATCAGAAATTTCTATTAATAATGTTATGTGGTGCATAAAAGCAGATTTGAGATTCATATAACTTATGATTTGCAAATGTATAGAACTTAAATCTTCTAATTTGTTTGTGTGTGTTTATTTTTTTTTTTTAGATCTTATCAAAAATTTCAGCTGTAGCACTTGGACTAGAAGCTGAAACAATAGCAGCTGTGTACGATGCATTAGGGTATTGAAGAAAATTAATTTTTGAATTAAATATTTGGAACATAAGGAAAGGTGACTGAAAATGGGGCGGAAGAAAATACAAATCACACGCATAATGGATGAAAGGAACCGACAGGTAAATGAAAAATTTAATTCAACTATGTGATACGATTAAATTTTTAATTTATTTGATATATATACTTAAAAAGAACATAATAGATAGAATGGTTGAAAATACTTAAAAATAATTTTGAGTATTTTTAGTTCCAGTCTAAATGAAAATTTTTACAATCATAAAATTATGTTTTCATGAACATTAAAGAAAATATTTATTACAGAAATCCTGTATCTTATAGATGGATAACAGGTATGCTGAAAGGAAAGTAAAATCACTGGAGTCTCATTTCTTTTTGTTGTATAGTGTTTTAAAGATATTTAGTCTTCAGTATATTTGTTGTATATTTGGTTGGTAGTCTTCTAATTATTTTTCAAATTATCACCTATTTTCATAATTAGGCAATATCTAAGAGAACTGCAATTGATCAGTTAGACTTTCTGGTTTACTAATAATGAGAATAGTTTTACCCTCATTATTCACAAGTATTTCTAAAATATTTATGTAAAATACCTCAGCTTTAATTGATAAATTTACAGTACCAGTGTGTCAGTAAACCCTTATAAGTTCAGAATAATTATAATGATGCTGATACATGAAGAAACCCTAAGTTGTGTTTACAGCTGATCGGCAAACTATGGCCCATAGGCTGGATGCTTGTTTTTCTACATAAAACTTATTACAATCCTGCCTTGCCCATTCATGTCTTATTGTCTATGGCTGCTTTTGCATTAACACAGATTTGATTTGTTAGTGTGACTAGCATTAATATAAATAGATGCCACAGAAACTATATGGCCAATAAGCCTAAAAAATCTTTGCTTTCTGGTCCTCTAAGAAGTTTGCAAACTCCTTGGTTTATAGTACAGAGGAAAAATAGTTTCAGAGAATATTGTAAATTAACCACTATTCAAATCATGTTCAGGAGGGAGAGGTGTACGGACTGTGGGAGGGTTACAAATCAGAAGTTTCAAGAACAGTTTCTTGAACATTGAAGATTTGTTCTGCAAAGTCAGAGTAGTCATTTAACTGAATATAGATATAATTGGAATCAAAACTCAACTGAGCAGCTGTGGGGGAAGTTAGTGAGAGTGATTAGGGTTGCCCATAGACTAAAGTGAAGCGGACCCTTGTTTCAATTCATGAAGATTGCTTAGTAAAGATGGAAGGCTCACATAGTGTGATACATTATGAAGGCTGATAAAATAGGGAAAATTGATATTCCATCAATCCAAAGGAATGATTCCAAGCAGGGTTGTAAGTAAATTTCCCTTTATACATCTGAAGGTTATGACAGGTAGAGGAAGAGGACCTGCAGTATGAATGTTAAATAGGATTTATTAGAGAATACCATGTAAGCAGAGTAGAAGCAGAGTTCATAAAATGCCTAAGCTGTCATACCCATGTTTAAATTGGGCATAATTAGAATGGACCTACCTATGAAATAGACTGTATATGGGAGCTGGGAATATGTAGGTGACTGGGTAATGGAACTTTCTAGTTGAGGAAATGACACTGTTAAAAAGATGGAGCCTGCAGCTATATTTTAGCAACCAGAAATTTAGCCACTTCCTTCATTGGATTTGTCTGTTAAGTCAGCTTTTTGCTAAACTGCCAGATGGGACAAGGGCTGTTTGAATTGCTCTTTCTGAAAATTTCACTAAAGAATGAAGAAAAAACATAGAAGGTGTAGTTGGGAAGTATATTTTTCAGATTAGATAAGGTCTGAACACAATTTGTCACAAGCTAAAATGGTATCTTAATTTTATTGATTTTTGGATGTATAGATTGAACTAAAATTTTTCTTGCAAAAAGGGGGAAATGATTTTGTATACCATTTATTCATTCAAATTCAAATATGTACTATATCTAAGTGACTATATTAAGTCTTGGAACTCATTAAAAATACATAGCTTACCTAGGACATCCCACTAGGTGGCAGATAAAAACTCAGGTACTGGGAAAGTTTATGGAAGAAACCACTATTGTTTGAAGGGGAATTCAGGGAGCAGTTATTGGAGCAGGTAAAAACAAACAGAGTTTTGAATTATAAGTATGAGCTAGCCACATGAAAATCATGCTTTACATTATTGGAATAGTGCATGAAAATTCTGGAACGTGATAGTATAATGCCCTTAAAAGGCTGGTGCACTTTATTTATTTCTACTTGGTAGGTTCTGGGGAAACCTTGTGTTTTTCTTCTTTGTTTAATAAGCTGCTTTGTAAAAAGGAAACTTTGTATTAAACTATAACATAAGAAAAGTTCACAGATTTTAAGTGTGCGGTTCAGTGAATTATGGGAAAAAGAACTTGACCATGTAGCTAGCATACCCCAGTATACCACCCCAGAAGTACTGTCCTGTTTCCCAGTTGTTATCTCCTTGCCCCTAGGAAAAGTCACTAACCTGACCTCTAACTTTGTTTTCGAGGTTTGTTTTTTTTTTTTTTTTTATGAAACTCACCAGTTATCGTTGCCATAGATAAATGTTAATGTATGTATACATTTTATTTGGTGTACAATATCCCCTCTTGAATAGAAAATAATGTATTTTTTTTTCTGTTGTAGATAGACATTTGGGTTGTTCTCTATTTTGGTAGTATTATGAAGAGTGCTGTTCACAATTTTGAACATTCTTATTTTGTACACATGAACACTTTGGTCGATACCTAGGAGTACAGTTAACTTGAGTTATAGGGTGTACATGTGATTGGCTTTAGTACTGTTGACAAAAGTTTTCCAAAGTGGTTATACTTTAATTTATACTCTTCTAGCAGAATGTGAGAGTTACAGCTGTTCCATATCTTCGCCAGTATTGTCCTTTTCATTTTAGTCATTCTGGTAGGTGAGCAATAATAACATTTTTAATCTTAAAATTCCATGATGTCTAATGAAGTTGTTCACTTTTGTATATTTTTACTGGCTATACCAGTTTGGCCCCCAAGTAACCTGTCGTGTACTACCATGCTTGGTTCATTTTACCTTTTTGTACTTTCTTTTATGGCTAATTCTTTTTATGTCACATTTAAGAAATCTTTACTTACTGCAGGGCTGTGAAGATAATTCTTCTATGCTTCTAGAAATTTTATTGTTTTCTCTTTTATGAAATTTAGATGTTATCTATTTGGAACTTATTTTCAAATAGTTTTTGAAGTATAGGGGTCAGGTTTGTTATTTTTTTAAATGGATATTCATTGACTGAGTACAGTTTATTGTCAAAAACATCCTTTCCACTCCGGGTGCCGTGACACATGCTTGTAATCCCAGCAGCTTGGGAGACTGAGGCAGAAGAATCACAAGTTCAAAGCCAGCCTCAGCAAAAGCAAGGTTTTAAGCAACTCAGTGAGACCCTGTCTGTAAGTAAATACAAAATAGAGCTGTGGATCTGGCTCAGTAGTAGAGTGACCTTGAGTTCAGTCTCTGGTACTCTCCAAAACAACAACAAAAAAAAATACATCCTTCCTCACTGCTTTTTTCATGAGTCAGACAATAATATATGTGTGGGACTGTTTTTGGACTCTCTGTTGTTCCATTAGACTGTATGCATAGCCTTGCTCAATTCTGAACTCTTATGATTACTATAGTTTTATATATGATAATATAGCTTTCTCTCTTTTTATTTAATTGATTTTATTTTTTAAATACACGGCAGTGGAATGCATTACAATTCTTATTACACATATAGAGCACAATTTTTCATATCTCTGTATATGAAGTATGTTCACACCAATTCATGTTTTCATACATGTACTTTGGATGATGATATTTATCACGTTCCACCATCATTGCTAACCCCCTGCCCCTCCCTTGCCCTCCCACCCCAATAATATAGTTCTCTACTATTATATTTCTGCAGAAGTGGCTGACTCTTAACCTTTTCAGTTCATAAACGAAATCAAGTCAGTGTTTACCAAAGAACAAACAACCCAAATTCTTACTGGAATTTAATTTTTTCTACTGAATATATGGATTTAGGGAGAATTGAAATCTTTACAATATTAATCTTTACAATATTAATTTTATTTGGTTTTCATTAATTCTCTCCTTAATGTTTGATAGTTTTCAGGATACAGGTCTTACACATATTGTGTTATGTTTATTTTCCTAGGTATTTGATTTGTTAGCATTAATAAGTTTTTCTCTAAATTCTATTTTGTATATATTTGTTGCTATGTTAGTGGTCTGTACCCAACAACTCTGCTTAAAAGTACTCAACTATTTCTAATACTTTATTTGTACATTTATGTACAAGTTTTTGTGTAAATATATTTTCATTTTTCTTGGATATATACCTAAATGTGGAATTGTTGGGTTGTAAGGTAATTCTTAAGTTTGACTAATTTTGAGGAACTGCCATACTGTTTGCCAGAGTAGCTGTACCACTTTACATTCCACTAACAATGTGTAAGGATCCCAGTTTTTCCACATTCTAGCCAATATTTGCTGTTGTTTGCCTTTTTGATTATTCTAATTATTCTAACAGTTGAACTGTTATCTTGTGATTTTTAGTTTTCATTTCTTTGATGGCTAATGATGGTCAACATATTTTCATGTGCTTAATTGGACTTTTTTTTTAATCTCTCTGAAGAAGTCTGTTCCAATCCTATGCCTAATTTTAAATTAACTTTTTGGTTATATCTGCATTTTGAAAATTGTTTTTAATTGATTCTAGAATTATAGATTGGCAGTAATATTCTCTTAGTATTTTGAAGCGGTTTTCTTCTAACTTCCATGATTCTGTGGGAGCTAGCTTTTAATCTCCTTTTTAAAACAATAATCTGCTCGTTTGGGGAGTATAGGGTATCAGGGATTGAACCCAGGAGTGCTTAATCACTGAGATACATCCTTACCCCTTTTTAAAAAATGTTGTTTTGAGACAGGGTCTGGCTAAGTGGTTTAGGGCCTCTCTAAGTTGCTGAGGCTGGCTTTGAATTTGCGATCCTCTTGCCTCAGTCTCCCAAGTCATTGGGATTACGGGTGAGTACCACTGTACCTGTTAAGACTTCTTTTTCTTTGTTAGCTT